CATTTCCTAACACCCACATGGGTGTTAACAATGGTTTGTAACTCCTGTTCCAGGGAGGTCATCTGACCTCAGTCATTGCACGACATGGGTGCACTTACATACATGTAGACAATACACTCATGTATAAATAATAAAATATTAAAAAGAAAATGTCCAGTATAGATAACTGTTGATCAATTTTTATCAGAAAGGGAAGAGAATAGGGAAGTTGCTAGGGTAGATATATTAGCTACTTTTCTGTTGCTATGATAAGACATTATGAGGGTTAGAGTTTAATGGCAGGGAAGGCATGACTCAGAGGTGGTCAGAACAGAAAACCAAGTGCACATCTTTAAGCAGGTACAGGAAGCAGAGAGAGACAGGAAATCTAGCAAGGGTTAGGAACCCTGTAAGGCCACCCCCAATGACGGCCTTCATCTGGCAAGCTGTACCTCCTAAAACCTCTTAAAACAGTGCCACCAGCTGGGGATAAAATGTCTAAATATTTGGAGCCTAATGGGACAGTCTCATTCAAACCACTACAGTAACTGTAGACTTCCTTCCTTCCTTCCTTCCTTCCTTCCCTCCATCCCTCCTTCCTTTCTTCCTTGTGACAATATTCTTAAATCATTATAATAGAACAATTCTTTAGAGAAGAAATTTTGGACTTGACCAAAATGATACTGAAGACAAAGTTATTGAAGCATTTGAAGTGGCTGCCTCTTTACCTTCCCGAGATTATATAGCATCCCTCCTGCAGTTACTACTTTAAATTAGCAGTATACACATATTAGGCCAATTTACTTCTTCCTCTAGATATTATTTCTTTAAATATAAATATGTAATGTTCTGTTTTGTTTTCTGTTTTATTTATTTACTTGTTTATTAATTTTGAGGCAAGATCCCACTGTGTAGTTTAGGCTGGCCTCACACTTAATATTTAACCCAGGCTGGTCTCAAATTCATGATCTTACTTTCTCAGCGTCCCAAGTGCTTGGATTATAGGTATGTGCCACCATCTGTAGGCAAAAAGCCCTCTTAATTTGTGAAATAATACTAGTTGTTCTTGCAGAAGACTCGGGTTCTAATCCCAGCACCCACATGGCAGCTAACAACTGTCTGTAACTCCAGTACCAAGGGATCCAACAGCCTCTTCTAACGTCTGTAGGCATTGCACGACACGGGTGCATTTACCTCCATGCAGGCAATACACACATATACATAAAATAAAAATAATAAATGAAATTAAAAAAAAAAAAAGGTAGGGGAATATGAGGCCAGAGAGATTGGCTTGGCAGTTAAGAGCACTGGCTGCTCTTCCAGAGGGTCTGGGTTCAGTTCCCAGTACTCACATGGTGGCTAATAACCATTTGTAACTCCAGTTCCAAGGAATTTGACACCCTTTTTTGACCTTTGCAGGCATTGTACAACATGGGTGCACTTACATACATGCAGGAAAAACACTCAATAAATTTTTTTTAATTAGGGGAATGTGTTGAACAATTTCAGAGAAAAGAACTTGTATTGTAAAAGCTAAAAGAAGATTATTAATAGGACATAATCTATAGGAGAATGGTGGTATAAGAATGGAAGAGTGTGGAGGTGGTTCTGAAGGAGGCAAGTCTAAAAAGCAGAGAGACAAGGAAGGGCTGTCTTGGTGATCAAGTACAAAATAGTCATCTGTCTTGTGCTGTAGGAGGACACAGGCACGATTTTGAGAACTTTTCAATATGTGTTATGAACTGGATTTATTAGGTACTTGACTGGTGTGCAGGTGAGGTTGACTTTTTGTTGCTGGAAGAAATACCTGAGAGAAATAGCTTAAGGGAAGAAGGATTTCTTTTGGCTCTTGGTTTCAGAGGTTTCAATCCATGGTTCAGTCCATTCTGTTTACGTCCACAGCAATGCAGAAACATCATGGAGGAAGTGCAAGGTGTAGTAAGCTCTTTACCCCAAGGCAGCCAGTAAGCTAAGAGATGACAGAAAGGGCTAGGGGCAAGATTCACCCCTAAGAACATCCTCCTTTTCTGTGATGAAAAGGAGGTGATCTGCCTTTTCCTACCAGGCTTGCACTGGTCAGATCTTTTGTCAGTGTGACAGCTTGTAGGGAGGAAAGGTTATTTTGGTCCCCAATTTCAGAGCTTTCACTCCATGTTTGCTTTATGTCTGAGGTTAGGAGTATATGACAAAGACTGCTTGGTTCAGAATCTGGGAAGCAGAGACAGACAGGGAAGGTTCAGGGTAAAGACGACCCTTCAGAGGTGCTTTCTCAGGGCTATGTTCTCCAAATTCCCACCTCCTAAAATTTCCACCACCTCCCAAAGTAGCAATACTAGCTGGGTACTAAACATTGAACACATGAATCTATGGAGGACATTTCATAGTGAGGCCATATCAGGGCTCTACTTCTAAGTTCCCATCATTTCTCAATAATGGATCAAATTGTGAATCTATCAGTGGATTAATCCCCTCATGATCCAGTGACCTCTCAGTAGCACTACTAGGGCCTATGAGATTGCTCAGCAGGTAAAAGCACTTGCTGACAAGCCCAATTACCTGAGTTTAATCCCTAGCACTACTAGGGCCTATGAGATTGCTCAGCAGGTAAAAGCACTTGCTGACAAGCCCAATTACCTGAGTTTAATCCCTAGGACCCATAGGGTAGGAAGAAAGAACTGACTCCTGCAAGTTGTCCTCTGACCTCCACGCTGAGCCTCCCAACACATGCAAAATAAATAAATATAAAAATAAGTCATAGTTGTGTATCAGTGTAAGGCTAATTATATAAACAATAAGGGGATATGCATGTTTTATATCTGCCCCCAACTCTGTGTATGTGTTCAGATAGAAAGATACCCAAGATTAGGATTAGAAAAAAATACATACCAGGCTTGTAATCCCTACTGCTCAGGAGGCTAAAGCAGGTGGATTGCAATTTTAAGGTCTACATGGGCTACAGAGTGAGTTCAAGGCTAGCCTATGCAACTCAGTATGTTCAACCTTCTCTCAAAAAAGTAAAACAATACTAGAAGGGTTTGGGACATATCTCATTGACAGGGTGCTACCTAACATGCACAAGGCCCTGGGCTCATCTCTGGTACTGCAAATTAATTATATATGTTTAGTGTAGAACAGTTTGCCTAGTAGTTGATTGCTTCTTAAATGTAAATTATCATATGCGAGAGAAACTGAAAAATCTATTCTTAACAGTTGTTCCATCTTAGACTGAAGCAGAGAGAGGTAAACTGGAAAAATTAGTACAAATACTTGCTGATACATCTTTATATTTAAATACTTTACAAAGAGAATATGTTAATTTTGTGATCATTAATTATTTGAAAATATGTTGCAGGTCAAGATTTATCTGAGATGATGCTTTCTTTTTTTTCCTTTTTTTCTTTTTTTAATCTTTTTGAAACAGGGTCTCCCTGTAGCTCCAGCTGGCCTGGAACTCACTAGGTAGACCAGGCTGGCCTTGAACTCACAGAGATCTGCCTGCCTCTGCCTCCCAAGTGCTGGGACTAAAGGCGTGCGCCACTACTTCCGGCAGTGCTTTCAATTATTATGTAAGAGATCCTCATAAATCTAATGAATCTGGGACTACTTTATATAATTTTGCATGATTTACAAATCTCTTATGTGAAACCTATATGAAAGGACTATTTAGATGTTAGAAGAGCTGTTTCAAGACTTTTCAACATCACCTGTATAGCTTCAAAGGAATGAGTCTGCTCTGTTCATCAGGACAGACAGAAATTGTTAACATGAATTCAGGATTCCCAGTTCCCTGAACCCATCACACTGTTTCAGGTCCTGCTTCTGTGCTGTTCTTCTGCCTAAATTCCCTCTGTATCCCCAAAACTGCTGTTTTACCATCTGCTTGGAAGAAGTTACATGAAACATTATCAGATGTCCAAGGAATTCAGTCTTTCTTGAAATCTCAGTACCTGCCTCTTCCCAGCCAGGCAGAGTTACCTGTACACAGATGATACCTCTCATACCTCTGATGTATTACGATTTATTTACATGTCTTATTTAACAAACTTATGAGCTTTCTGAAGGTAGACAAAATTAATCTCCCTCCCTTCCCCATCCCTCCCCCTCCTCTCCTCTCTCTCTCTCTCTCTCTCTCTCTCTCTCTCTCTC